CCAGATCGGTGTATAGGCGCTAGTATTGTATGTGTGAGGCTGTTTCTCTTTCACAGGCCGACTGCTTCGTGCTAACAGGGTAAAAATTAACGTGCAAGAATAGAAAAGCAAATATTGAGCCGCTGATAATGAAATTGTTAACACGTCGTCTGAGTGGACACAGTGCTTCTGAAGGTTAAAGCACTGGCAAAAAAATCCAGTTCACGCAATTTGTCCTCTGACCCTAAGGCCCAATCCCATTTCTTATTTTTACCCCTACCCCTTGTTTCGAGTGTCACCTTTCCCCTTGGAACTGAATACATGGGGTAGTGGTTGAAATCTTCCCTCTGAAATGAGACCCTCGAATAAACAGAGCATCACTTCATTAACAGCTACCAGCGCTGCTCTGTAGGCGACCCTGCCAGTCTGCAGTGACAGCAGAGGAGGGTAAAGTTCAGCTCCTCACTGCTGGGCTTTAGTTACATTTAGGGAATCATATGCCTTCAAAGAGGGGGGCAATTATTTATTATCACCCACCTCTAATTCTTCAGTGATATGAAGCTGAAGTCAGATATTCACCAGCTTCTTGCTTGAATTTCACTGTTCCACCTTAAATGGAGCAGCAGTTCTGATGCCTAAGATGCCTTTTAAGGTGGAACGGGAAATTTAGCTACCGACACATCAGCATACTACTAGGGTTTTTTGTGCTTGTTATGAGGAAAAGGGCCTTAATACATTGAAACAACATTAAGATAAAACAACACATACATTTATTTTTCTTTTTTCTTACAACACTCTGTTTGGAGTGCCTCTTAAAAAAAAATCCTCTGTTTGGAGGGTCATGTAGCCCTAACGCTTCGCCCTACCCCTCTATCTCAACAAGATAGAGTCTGGACACCCTACCCCTAGATATGAATGCGCAAAACGGCAGGCTTAGAGCTGAGTGGGGGGGTGAGGGGTGAAATGGGATTGGGCCTAAATGTAGTTGATTATTATCATATTATATTATTGCATTATCTCATCTTTAATAGACTCGATTATGCGGTTTCTGCCGCTGTATGACTCGCTGTGCATTAGCATAGCTAGAAACTGCAGCAGCCACCCAGAAGCCTGAATTCTGCCCATGTTTATGGAAACGTTTCATCATAAAAGCCACGTAATCCAGTCTGTTAGAGTTTACTGAACAACTCCACACGGGTCGCGATTAATATGTGATGATTTGGATATTCAGTTAGCACAGAGCTAATTGGTGGAGCAGAAGCTTCCATTAATCTTTCTCTTTCTCTCACTCCTTTCTCCCTCTATCTGCAGTAGAAAGATAGAAAGAAAGAGAAAAGCAGAGAGCGAGAAAGGGGAGAGGAAGCAGAAAAAGGGAGTGAGGGAGAGAGAAAAAAAAGAGAAAATGATAGCGAGAAAGAGAGCGATGGACTGGGCAAGGGGAGAGAAAGGAACGAGCTGGTAAGGGAAGCAGAAAAAAGAGAGGGAGAGATAGAGAAAAGGAGCGAGAAAGAAAGAAAAGGAGAGAGGAAGGACGGAAAAGGAAAAAGGTGATTGAAAGATATGACCAAAAGAAAGAGAAATGAGAGTGAGAAGAGACAGAGAGAGAGAAATAGAGAGAGAGAGAGAGAGAGAGAGAGAGAGAGAAGAGAGAAAAAGAGAAAGATGGAGCAGGTAAAGAGAAAAAAGAGGAGGGAGAGAGAGAGAGAGAGAGAGAGGTGTAGCGTTTTATATGAAGAACACCTTCATTCTGCATTAGTGGGACAAGGTCATTCTGTCAGTCTGATTAATGATTCTACACAACAGCCACACACACACACATACACACACACACACACACACACACATACACACCACACACACATACACACCACACACACACACACACACATACACACCACACACAGTACAGTTACACACAACAGCCACACACATACACACAATCTAGAGTTACACACACTCGCATGTTAAAGGCACATGCACACACACGCAATAGAGTTACACACTTAGGTGTTAAAGGTGCATACACACACACACACACACACACACAATACAGAATTAAAAACATTTGTGTGTTAAAGGACCATGCATGCACACAAACACACACACACACACAATAGAGTTACACACTTGTGTGTTAAAGGTGCATGTATAAACACACACACACACAAAAAAACGAATTAAAAACATTTGCGTGTTAAAGGACCATGCACACACACACACAGTACAGAGATACACACACTTGTTTGTTAAAGGTGCATACACACACCACACACACACACACACGCACACACACACACACAATACAGAGTTACACACACCTGCATGTTAAAGGTGCACACACACACAGTAGGGAGTCACACACACTTTCTTGTTAAAGGAGCATGCACACACACACACACACATACACTCACACTCACACTCTAGTCTTGGGCTGATTCCGTTTGTACAGTCATTCTAATCAGTGGTTAATTAACAATGTAAACAATAACGATAACACTGAATTATCAGCTACACAAACAGAGCATCACCAACTAATTAACTTCACACACAAATGATTATAACATTCACCATTAAACATGGTTCTTCAGGGGTTCTTTAGTAAAACAGTTCTATAAAGACCGCTTGACTACACATAATTAAACTCTGATACGTGAGGTCTACTGTCCAGAAGACAGTGAAATGGACAAGCTTGTCCAGAAGACGGGATAGCACTTTGGCAGCATTTTGGTTTCCAATCGAACTCAGAGAACCACTGGATGTTAACAGTGTGGCATCCCATCTGTGTAGAACACAGTTAGCGTTAGAAATGATTCAGTCATGTCAGAAGTTAGCTCAGATGGTAATTATGTGTTAATTATAAGACTCCCAAACAATTAAAATGATTTAATCATGATTAATCGCTTTCTTTTGGGTAATTTATTACATATAATTGCATTCTACATATGGTTCTTTATAACAGAATGAAATACAACGATATATTTATGTTCATGCGAGGATCATACTGTTTAATAACATTGTGTTCCTCGCATTAACACAACTATGGATGGGTTGAAGGGTCAGACTAGGAAAACACATGAATAATTAGTGGCGCTATAATAAAGCAGTGAGCTACAAGAGGCCATGCATTACTGTGATTTTAGCACGGGAAGGGTGTTCTTAGGCACGAAACAAAGTTATTATTAATAATGATTGACATAAACAAGTATTCCGCCAAGAAATGTAGCTCCTTTAGAGTTGGTATCATTGCCAAGCAGCCATGGATCGCTGGATGCTGAGACAATTTGGTCGCCCATCGCTATATATTGTGGTCATTTCATGAACCTTTAACTTTTTGTCGTATAACAATGAACATATGATAGCACAGCACTGTTTGATGCAAAAACTTTCGCTTTATAAGCACTTTTTGGTCACCAAATTACCACCACGAGTCTTATTTAGCACCAATCCAGCGGCGCCCTCTTCTCACACTGGGGCTCAATCTCAAATGGCTCCCTGCTCCCTACATAGTGCACTACGTAGGGGTTTAAATACTGGATCCTGCAGCCCAACAGAGCAAAATACAGCTAAAAAACAGTCATTTGGGATTTAGAAACGTCCACACTCGATACATGATGGACTGTTTGGCTGTAGAGGCTAGAATCTCTAAACTTTCATAGCTAGAACACTATTTAGGGAGTACGGATCCGTTTGGGATTCAGCCTGGGTTTGACACGACTTCTGACTGAGACATGGACATTTGAAGTGTGTGAGACATTCAAGTGACATTTTTAGACTTTTATACTGCAGTTTTACAGTAAATCATACTGTAAGGACTTTAATTCAAGCCTGTGATATTAATGATGGAGTTGTTTAGGCTGTTGGCTCTTTTAGCCTGTTAGCTAGCTGACCAGCCTGGTTCTAGTTAAGAACATAAGTCGTCAGCTCCTCAGTTTAAACAAAAAATGAGTTCTTCATCAGTACGCTTGGTGGTCCATGCAAACAGCATTAGAGTCAAAGATTATTTACACTAACATCACGAGGGTTTGACTCTACATTTTATAATGTCAAATAAAGTGGTTACACGTTATTATAGCATTAACTTTGATGCCAGTAGGTAATTATATTACCAACAGGAAAAAAAAAGTGCGGCTCACTTGTGGTTCTTCATAACAGAAAAGAACACAAATATAGTCTATCATGATAATTTTGCAGAAGTTGTCTGTAGCTGTCTCTGTGTGTGTGTGTGTGTGTGTGTGTGTGTGTGTGTGTGTGTGTTCCCGCTGCTGCTTCATGTCCACAAATTCTGTAAACTGTCAGTGTGTGATTGACCTGTCCAGGCTCCGCCCACAAACGTGTTCTTTTATATCAAGCTAGGTTAGACAAGACTTACAGAACATTGTCTCTAAATGTAGGTATTGTGATATAAACTGAGTCTGTTCTACAGTTTCTCATTAGGCTGAATGAATAACCGACTCTAAATGTAGGTATTGTGATATAAACTGAGTCTGTCAGTTTCTCAATAGGCTGAAAGAAATTTTTGACCACCATTTTGTAAAACTACCTAGCAACCAAGCTGAAGACCTGAAGAACACATTTGCGGACGGAGCATGGATAGATCTCTCTCTCTCTCTCTCTCTCTCTCTCTCTCTCTCTGTCTCTCTCTCTCTCTCTGTGTCTCTCTCTCTCTCTCTCTCTCTCTCTCTCTGTCTCTCTCTCTCTCTCTCTCTCTCTCTCTCTCTCTCTCTCTCTCTCTCCCTGTCTCTCTCTCTCTCTCTCTGTGTCTCTCTCTCTCTGTCTCTCTCTCTCTCTCTCTGTGTCTCTCTCTCTCTGTCTCTCTCTCTCTCTCTCTGTGTCTCTCTCTCTCTGTCTCTCTCTCTCTCTAACCCCTCAGTTTGTGCTGCTGCTCTGCTTTGCCGTCTTGCTTCGTGTATGTTTTATTTTGCTGTGCTGTGCTCGATGGTGCTTCTCTTGATCATGACCTTGCTCTCCTTTTTGTTTTCTTTTTTTTTTCTTTTGTTTCTTTTATTTGTTTCATTTTTCAGATTTGCATATCCATTCCTCCTCCTCCCTCCTTCATTTCCCTTTCCTTCCTTGAGAATGGCAGGCGGACCCCCCACTGACAAATACAGTTTTCTCTACCAGACAGACAGCAGCCACTTAAAGAGGTCAGTCTAGTGCATACATTCACCTGCAGAGTGAGAGAGTGAGAGAGTGTGAGTGTGAGTGTGAGTGTGAGTGTGAGAGTGAGAGTGAGAGTGAGAGTGAGAGTGAGAGTGTGAGAGTGAGAGTGTGAGAGTGAGAGAGAGAATGTGTGTGTGTGTGTGTGTGTGTGTGTGTGTGTGTGTTGACCCAGATATTCTGTTCTTGAAAATAATGTGTGTTTAATATTCCTGATTTTTTCCAGTTGTTTTCTAGTATTTGCTGATATAACTACCTAAAAGCCAAATAATGTGTACTGCATTAGAACCTCCGGAACCCGTAAAATACAATTCTAACATTCAGAACCAACAAAATACTCCTAATTTTATAATAGAACTTGTGAAAAACAGTTCTAACGTACAGAACCAATAAAATACCCCTGACTTTGTAGTAGAACCTGTGAAAAACGGTTCTAATCTGCAGAACCAATAAAATACTCCTGATTAGGTAGTAGAACCAGAGAAAAACAGTTCTACCCTACAGAACCAATAAAATACCCCTGGCTTTGTAGTAGAACCTGTGAAAAACAGTTCTAATGTACAGAACCGGAAAAAAACCCTGACTTTGTAGTAGAACCTGTGAAAAACAGTTCTAACCTACAGAACCAATAAAATACCCCTGGCTTTGTAGTAGAACCTGTGAAAAACAGTTCTAACCTACAGAACCAATAAAATACCCCTGGCTTTGTAGTAGAACCTGTGAAAAACAGTTCTAACCTACAGAACCAATAAAATACCCCTGACTTTGTAGTAGAACCTGTAAAAAACAGTTCTAACCTACAGAACCAATAAAATACCCCTGACTTTGTAGTAGAACCTGTGAAAAACAGTTCTAACCTACAGAACCAATAAAATACCCCTGGCTTTGTAGTAGAACCTGTGAAAAACAGTTCTAACCTACAGAACCAATAAAATACCCCTGACTTTGAAGTAGAACCTGTGAAAAACAGTTCTAATGTACAGAACCGGAAAAAAACCCTGACTTTGTAGTAGAACCTGTGAAAAACAGTTCTAACCTACAGAACCAGCAAAATATCCTGACTTTGTAGTTTCACCTTTTGAAACTGAAAGAGCAGAACCATTTCTTTTTGGTTCCTGATCTTGAGATTAGGTTTAGGGTTAAACGTCTTATATATAGATACCCATAGATAACTTTTCAAGAAAAGCAAAATCCTTCAGTGGAAGTTAATGAAAATACTTTATCCTAAGTACAACCCCATTCCCAAAAAAGTTGGGATGCTGTGCAAAATGTAAATAAAACAAAATTCAACGATATGCTAATCATTTAAACCCTATATTTCATTGAAAATGTTACAAAAACAACAAAAAATTAAATATTGAAACTGAGAAATTTTGTTTTTTTGAAAAATATTTGCCCATTTTGAATTAGATTCCAACAACACATTCCAAAACAGTTGGGACGGGGACAGTTTACCACTGTGTTTCATCACCTCTTCTATTAACAGCAATCTCAGTTTGGGAACTGAGGAGACACTGCTGTAGTTTAGAAAGTGAAATGTTTTCCTGTTCTTGTTTGATACAGGATTTCAGCTGCTCATCAGTTCAGGGTCTCCTTTGTCATACTTTTCAATGTAGCAAATGTTATCAGTGGTGACAGGTCTGGACTGCAGGCAGGCCAGTTTAGTGCCCGGACTCTTTTAATACGGAGCCATGCTGTTGTAATACATGCAGAATGTGGTTTTACATCGTCTTGCTGAAATAATCAAGGCCTTCCCTGAAACAGGTGTCGTGTGGATGGCAGCATATGTTGCCAAAACCTGTATATATCGTTCAGCATTAATGGTCCCTTCACAGATGTGCACGTCACCCATGCCATGTGCTCTAATGCCCCCCTATACCATCATGAATACTGGCTTTTGAACTGTGCACTGATAACAAGCTGAGTGGTCTTTAGTCTGAAGGACACAGTGTCCATGATTTCCAAAAAGAATTTCAAATGTCGATTCTTTGGACCGCAGGACACTTTTCCACTTCCCCTCAGTCTATTTTGAATTATCTCAGGCCCAGAGAAGGTGGCAGCATTCCTGGATCCTGTTTATATATAGTTTCTTCTTTGCATTTAAGAGTTTTTACTTGCATTTATGGATGCAGTGATGAACTGTTTTCACAGACAGTGGTTTTCAGAAGTGTTTCTGAGCCCATGCAGTGATTTCCACTAGAGAATCATGTCTGTTTTTAATGCAGTGCTGTCTGAGGGCCCAAAGATCACAGCCAGCGTATACTGGTTTTTGGCCTTGTCCCTTACATACAGAGATTTCTCCAGATTCATTGAATCATCATCATCTAAACCGCTTATCCTTCTGGGTCGTTTGGTGGGGAGGGGTGCTGGAGCCTATCCCAGCTGTCATTGGGCGGAAGGCAGGATTCACCCTGGACAGGTTACCAGTCCAGATTCTCTGAATATTTTAATGATATTATGTACCGTAGATGATGAAAAGCAAAAGTTTGTTGCTATTGTATGTTGTGAAATGTTATTCTTGAATTGTTGCACTGTTTGATTGTGCAGTCTTTCACAGTAAAATAAAGCTCTGATGATCGTTCTAAAACAGTTTTAACAATAAATGGTCTTAAACGCTGGAGTTAATGTAGAACTGTTAATCTCACCTAGCTAGTAGCTAATGAAACAGCAAAGAGAGAGATTTAAGATGAACATTGATAATTTGGAGACAAATGGACTTATTTGCGTTTATAATCACTCCAGCTGGTTTCCTGATATGTTTAATCTGCAAGGAGAAACTGACAAACACTAAAAGTTGCTAAGCTGAAGTCAGTTTCTCATTCACCAACTTCTTGTTTGAATTTTCCTGTTCCACCTTAAATGGTGCAGCAGTTACATTCTGCCTCAGGCACCATTTAAGGTGGAATGGGAAAATTCTAACAAGAAGCTGGAGAATGAGAAACTGTCTTCAGCCTCGTAAATAATCAAACGTTGAGAGACATTTTACAAGAAACTGGAAAAGTTTCCTGTCTGAGATGTGAGAAAAGTGGATACAGCTGGGCTAAAGCTTAAAGCAGAGCGAAGAAAGACTGCTTAAATTTGTTAGCCTATACCAACACATTAACACGAAATGGCTCTCCTTAACATTTGGGTTGCCGTCCCCTGAGTTATCACAATGATGAAATGCAGCAGTAAATGACTATAAAAAAGTAGTGTGCCTTTGACTGGATGTGATGCAAGTACAGATGGTTTTTGGATGTGTAAACAGAAATCTGACTAACCACTCCTTTAGGCAAATAGCAAAATACAAAATTAAAAACATACCATTCAGTATTGTGCAAAATGAAAAGGCATGAAGTACAAACAGCTTCTTACGTCAGAACTGCAGGCACATTTTTTCTGCACCAAAGGGCTGAGAAACAGCTTTTTCAGTAAAGCCTCCAAAAACAAACATATATTTATAGTTTTTTAAGCACACAGGAACAAATAGATATTTTTCTTTAATTTTATTTTTGTTTTGTTATTACATATCGTCGCCGTCCAAAGAAAAACTAGTATCTACAAAATGGTAACTTTACAGGAGAGGGCAAAAATGCCCCTAACTTTTTATGTAAGTTAATATAAAGAGATTTATTCTAATTGATTTTGGGGCGTTTCTATTTGTCCAACCGTCATGAATTTTTTTCACAATGTAAAGTGGAACTGCCGAGTTCAAATGATGTACCATTTTTGTCCATTTTTATTTTTCTACATGTTCTTTAGACAGCGACAATATGTTTGTTTTGACAGTAGAAATTATTGCCTCACACACTCAAAACACATTACTGGTTGTGGGAACAATCCTGGATGGGGATGAGTTTGAGCTGAGCATTTGTGTGCTTTGTAAATGACTGTTTAGCCTAATGGTTAAGCCACTCGTCGAGAGCAGCGTTCAATCCCCTCATCAGGCTTCTGACGGTTTGTGCTGGTGACGTACTGACGTCTCTCTGGGCTCTGTGTGTATGAGGTTTTCCGATCTGTTCTGTCATTGCCGTTCAAACGATGTGTTTATGGTAGAAACTCGTACTATTTATCGTACAGCCTGACCTTACAGTGCATTTTTAATGAAGTGCTTTGCTTGAGATCTCTTACGCTCTGTGAATTCTGCCAGTCTAAAGATCACCCATGCAGCCCATCCATCTTTAACCAGCTTACTACACAAATCGTGAAATAACCTGTTCCTTCTTCTTCTTTCTCTCTTTCTCTTTTCTCTCAGTAAGAGCAGACTGTCTTCCACCATGAATCCGGTCTACAGTCCCGTTCAGCCTGGGACTCCATACGGAAACCCCAAAAACATGGCCTACACAGGTGAGAGAGACGCCGACAGTCTGTTTACAGACACCATCTGCAATAGGACAAATCAGCTTCATGTCACAACAGCAAAGCACTTATTTCCGGGTGGGTAACAGAGGTAGCACTGCCCGGCTAACACCTATTAAAGGTTTCTGCTGGTTTCTGATGGTGTCCAGTAGTCTCAATGGGTATTCTATGTTTTCCTGTTGGGTTGGTATCACAGTGTAAACCAGGGGTGCCCAATACATCGATCACGATCTACCAGTCGATCACACAGTGTACATTGGTTGAAACAGGCTATAACTTTACTGCTTTTGGTGGCGGACAGGTCAACGTGATTGACGTAAAATGTGGCCACTGTCTCTTTAATTTACTGCTTGTTACCGTAGCTACGCCACAGCCCGCCTAAAGCACTGCTGTGTATTTGCCTCTCTAGCAATCTAGAAAGTTTTCATTCATCAGTAGCCAGTTGTTGTGACACTGAGTGTGTTGACATGCACTTAATTATCCAATAACTGCAGAGAGTCAGATTTTGTCAGTAATCTGATCAACACGTTTACATGCTCTTGAGTAATCAGATAATGGGGAAACTCCAGGTCTACATGAGTCAGACAGTAATCAGATTTCTGCTGTACAACCAGCAAATAAACTCACAGAAGAAGACGTGATGTAAACGTAACAACAAACTCAAAATTCATACCGTGGCTTTTTAAAAAAAAAAAACATCGACCCACTTTACCTGAAAATATGAACGTACATCATCTGGACGATGAAGAATATTTAACTCCTTTATTTCATGTTTGGTTTCAGTGCCGCTCTAAAAGTGTTTAGCTGTCATCTGGTGACATCCACCGTCTGTTGTCGCGCATGCGCAGACTCAGAAATCTGAAAGAAATCAGAGTAAGAGTCACATGCACTGAGAATCTGATTACTGAGCTAAAATCCAGCTCTCTTTGTCAGATTTCTTAATCGGATTTCTAGATCGGAGTATGGTGTTTACATGATCATTTGAATAATCGGATAACTGCGGAAATCCGATTATGATCGGATTATTGAGTGCGTGTAAACACACTCACGGACTCTTTCAGAGGACGAGTGCGAGACCTGCACAAAGAAACCGAAACTTAGCTCCTCCACACAGAGCAGGAGGAGGACTATAGTTTGACAGTGTCAGCCTCCAAATGAATCTGCTTGATTTGCCAAGTAGCGCACGTCTAAAGAAGGGGAACGTCGGGAGGCATTTTCAAAGTACACACAGAAACTAGGACGACAAATTTCCAGTTAAAAGTAACTCAGGAAGAAAAGGTTGTCCAGACTACACAAACCAGCTGATACCATTCAGTGCAAATCATCAGAATAAGGTTAGTGTGATGTTTCAGTCGTTTGCCCTGTGATGCTGAATATTAATACAGGACACTGAAGTGTGTTAAAAAGCTTCAAAGCTTGTAAAAAAGGATGATTTTTTTTTTTTAAAGGTAGATCACGATGACCTGTCCACTGGAAAAAGTAGATCTCAAGCCATAGAAGTATGGGCACCCCTGTTGTAAAGGACTCTAATGGTTTAACAGGTGCTCTGATACTGATTATAGATGCATCTGCTGGTTTCCTAATGGGATCTAAAGACTAGAGACGACTAATTTCCCACAGGAAATTCCAACTGCTACAGTAGGATTTGTACCAGTATTGAGACTTATTTGACTAAGATCTTCCCAGGTCAATAACTTCACAACTTTGTGTAGTTAATATTTGTCCTATAATCATGAATACATTTCATTTGAGGGGTTAATAAAGCAGCATTCACTCTGTAAGGATGCTTTTACATCCAAAAACAACAAATAACCCAAACATAAAACAACTAAATTTACAGTTTTAGTTGTACTTTACCTGCTCAAGAGGGAGCTGGAAGCATTATAGTAACCATGGTTAACAATTAAATGGTATTTTTTGATCATTATGTCACACTGATTTGGCTATTTAGCTGCCTTGTTTGCCATTTAACAGATCTGGCTATGAAATGATGCTCTGCACTGTTCTGCACACATGCACTCACCAACGTCTACGTAGAATCAGACGCAGAATCAGACTAAGCTTCAGTTTTTCTCAGTGGAGTGTGAATGTATTTGCTCAAAATATGAGCAAAAATGTGGGTTCTCTGGCAGCATAAACGCTAAGGTTGCCTTACTACAAAGTAATAATTCTGAAAGTAGTAATCAATAGTAATCATTTTATTTAATATCCAAGACCACCAGTGAACCGACACGTGTCCTCTGGGTTTGGTGTGGAATGCTGATGATATAGTGGAAAATCTGAAGAAATGTTTTCTTTCAGTATGTTGTTTATAATTGACTCTATCCTTCCAAAATCAGTGCAGTTGAATCAGCGCCTTCAGATCTATTTATCACGACGCACTGATGCAGTTTAACACCCCGAGTGTCCAGTGTGGTCAGCATGTCTGTGAGCGCTCAGCAGCTGATGAGTTTGAGTCAGTCCACCTGCTGGTTCTGCTGGAGTGCGTATGTGTGTGTTGCTGCGTGTCTGACGGCTCTCCTCTCCTCAGTATGGCAGAGAGAGAAAGAAAGAGAGAGAGAGAGAAAGAGAGAGAGAAAGAGAAAGAGAGAGAGAGAGAGAGAGAGAGAGAGAGAGAGAGAGAGTGGGTTTGCACTCATTCGACTGTGTCTTATTAAGACAGACCAGTGGTAATGAACACCATCTGTGCTCGTCCTGTTCAGTTACTAACCTCCCTCTCTTTCTGTATCCATCTATCTATGTATCTATCTATCAGTGCGTGTGTGTGTATATATATATATATTTATATATATATATATATATATATATATATATATATATATATATATATATATATACACACACACTGCTGTCTGATCAAAATAATATTTATTTTTATATGTATATATTTATCTCCAAAATAGTAACTTTACAGGAGAAAGAAAAAACCTACTTTACTTTTAATGTAAATCAATGGAACCAGACTTTTTTCCAAGTCATTTTGAGTCATTTCTTTTGGTCCATTCATCATGAAATTTACACACAATGTAAAGAGCAACAGGCATTTTCAAATTATGTCAAAAAATGAAAAACCGCAAAAATAGAGGGTTTTTCCAACAGCACCTATATGCTGTATATACTTATATATACATATACTTATAAGTACATTCTTTTACATTCATCTCTTGGTCTGTCTCTCTTTCTCTCCTTTTTTTGTTCACATCTTTCAATTACCGTGGGAGATTTACATTAGTACATCAGACGCAAATGAGTCAAGTGCATTAGTCACCAGCTTTTTAAAACCTGTATAATCCCACGTTGCCCTTCAGTTCACTCCTGTGATTTCTGAAACACGGCTTCGTTTCCTCTAGTACTTCACTTTCTTCCCTCTGTGTGTCCCCAGGTTACCCAGGAGGTTATCCCACCGCCGCTCCAGCGTACACGCCCAGCCTCTACCAGACGGGCAGTCCAGGGTACCCCCCAGGTAAATACAGCCCACCTCACTCACAGATACACACGAGGATTCACACTTGTTCAGGAACAGGTAAGTGGGTGAGTGAGTTCGTCAAGACACGTGCCTCACATTCATGAGCATGCGTGTCTTCTGTTGCTTCACACGTGTCCAGAGATGTCAGCGTGGTCAGTAAGGCAGCTGATTATTGAGATCGAGGAATTTGTCCATAAATCCTAGAGCAAATATTACAGAACAGTTCTAAAACCTGATTGGTTGAGTCACTCAGTAGATGGCTTTTTTATAAATGCAACAAATTATTAACAACCACAGAGTCATGGATGATTTAGATACACTAAGAATAGTTATGTTGCTTAGCAACCCAAGCCTACTGGTCATGACCAGCACTGCTTTTCATAAGAATTGCTTATTGCATCTGTTAAAATAAATTTAAATGCCCAGTCAACAAGGACTTAAAGATCGATCACTTTTATGCTGAAATCGAATGAAATGCTATTTGAAAGAGTGCAGTTTTCAAACTGCAAGGGCTGCAATTTTAATCAAAGCCTATGTTTTTCAACATTAATGTAACCTAATAACATTGAGCTTGTCACCTGCCTGTAGATCAGTTAGACAAATCAGAAGTAGCCAAACATGTACATGACAGTACAACAACTAACAGGCAGTAAATGGCAGGGTTCAAGCCTCAAGCCAGAAAAAGTGGACAAAAATAACCTTAATTTTTAAAAAAAATAATGCAGAAAAATCACAATTTAATTAGATATTTTTTACAAATCATTCATCAGGTGTAGAGAGATGAACCAGAGCTCAAAAACCGCTCCACTCCAAACCCAAGCACTGGGAACCCTACCCACTGTTTTAAAAAATAAATAATTTAATTATTTGTGTATTTTATCATGCTGCATTTTGTCACAGTTTAATAAAAGCATTGAGCCACTGTAGACCATGCGTTACAGTGTTGTACTCTGCTTCGTGCCGTGCCTCACAACACATGTTAACCGTGGTAAAATCACTGTAATGCACAGCTTATTCCTTTAAGCTAATTATTTGCGTGTTTAACTGTTTGGACTGGAGCCCGATAAATCGGTTGGTTGATACTGGCAATTTGTAGTTTTATTAATATCAACAAAAATAGCACCAATAAAAACCCTGATAATTACTGTCCAGGGATGCACCGATCAATTGGCTATTTTTTATTAGCCAAACTTGCAACATAAACATCATTATTTGCTCTTTATTGGGCCAAACTGGCACTTTCTGCTGTTTATTCAAGTTTAAAAAACGTGACCGTTAAGAACAATGATATCATTTAGTAATGCAATATTTAGCTAAAGCAATTAAAATTTAAAAATAAATATAAACATACACCGATCAGGCATAACATTCTGACCACCTCCTTATTTCTACGTTCATTGTCCATTTTATCAGCTCCACTTACTATATAGGTGCACTTTGTAGTTCTACAGTTACAGACTGTAGTCCATCTGTTTCTCTGATACTTTGTTAGCCCCCTTTCACCCTGTTCTTCAGTGGTCAGGACCCCCATGGACCCTCACAGAGCAGGTACTATTTGGGTGGTGGATCATTCTCAGCACTGCAGTAACACTGATGTGGTGGTGGTGTGTTAGTGTGTGTTGTGCTGGTCTGAGTGGATCAGACACAGCAGTGCTGCTGGAGTTTTTAAACACCTCAGTGTCACTGCTGGACTGAGAATAGTCCACCAACCAAAAACATCCAGCCAACAGCGTCCTGTGGGCAGCGTCCTGTGACCACTGATGAAGGACTAGAGGATGACCAACACAAACTGTGCAGCAGCAGATGAGCTATTGTCTCTGACTTTACACCTACAAGGTGGACTGACAAGGTAGGAGTGTCTAATAGAGTGGACAGTGAGTGGACACAGTGTTTAAAAACTCCAGCAGCACTGCTGTGTCTGATCCACTCGTACCAGCACAACACACACTAACACACCAACACTAACAAAGTATCAGAGAAACAGATGGACTACAGTCTGTAACTGTAGAACTACAAAGTGCACCTATATAGTAAGTGGAGCTGATAAAATGGACAATGAGCGTAGAAACAAGGAGGCCTGATCGGTGTAGAACCATTTTCAAAAGACTTCTATATAGAACCATGTATAGCACATTTATGCACATTTTCCGTCAGTCTGAAGAACCAATTCATGATGAAATCGTGGAAAAGGTTCTTGGAGTGTTCATGGTTCTATGTAGAACCATTTTCTTTACTAAAGAACCCTTGAAGCACCATCTTTTTTTAAGAGTGCAGTACAAACTACAGAAACTAGTGGAGACGTCAGTTTGTGCTGAGCTTGTTCTGCTTGGCCGTTGGATTAGACTCTGGTGCCTGACAGGCTCTGGGTGGCGAGAGAGGCTGTTTTCTCCTTCTAACAGATGGGTGTGAAGGGGTTTAGGTAGAGTTTGGGCTACACATATGGGCAGCGTGCCTCGTCTGTGCACGCATGACCTGCTGCGCTCACGTCAGCGCCTGTGGAGATTCAGGCTGGCGCTGCGCTGCAACATGCGGCTCTGCTTCTTTCCCAGGGTTGCTTGTAGTTGGAGACAAAGACTCTCCAGGCATCATACCAGCAGGCACCATCATGCTGCCTTCACGTGCTCAACGCAATCGCAGCGCCGTCTTTCACATCTAGTCCAAAACTGACGGACTGCGATGCTGTGTGATGAGCCTGCTGGATTTTCTGCATTGTGCGGCTGCGTTAAATCAAGCTGACCGATCAGAGCTCTGCTGTCGTGGTTGCAACCCAAACAAATGTGTGTCAAGCTGGCGGCAGAACAGCTCATCTTGCTTGTGGCAGAGCGCAAAAGCTGCAACAAGCAACATGCTAACTATAAAAACACAGAGGTGTGTGTGGGTGTGTTATTTAAGCTACATTCACATTACCAGCCTCGTTGCTCAAATCCGATTTGTTGCTCAAATCCGATCTCTCTGACTCGATGGTTCACACTCATTTAGGTAAGTGACTCAAATCTGTCATTAATGTGACGAACCAGCGTCCTGAAATGACTCTCATGAGCTCATCCTACTCAGTAACGTCACGTGAATGAATCACGTTCATCATCAGCAACAAACTAACGAGCAGAACGAGCTTCACTGAGAAGATAATTAACTCTGATCAGCTCTCAGCTTCATTATTAGAGCGAGACGAAGGAGAAAAAGGTGAGACGAGCTGCTTTTCCACCGTTTACAGGCTTTAACTTCTGTTCGGCGCTGCTGCCATGGTAACGCTGAATGATGGCGCAGGCGCAGTGGAAAAAGGCATGAATTCCGATCTGAGCGTCACATTAAGGTCACATGGCCACAAATCGGATACGTACCCGATCTAGGACCACATATGAAAGGCTACGTTCACATTGCCAGGTTTAAGTGTGAGGCAAGGCAGGTTTATTTGTAGAGCACATTTCATGCACGATAGCAACATAAGGCGATTTACATATATAAAAGCTAAATAAAAGCAGCATAAAAAATAAGAAGGAAATAAAATAAAAATATATGAAATATAAAATAATGTAAATAATGAATCAATCCTTATTCACATGAACTGTTTAAGACAGAACAGGCAGAAAAATCAAACTACCTGTGAAAAATGAAATGAGTAAAATAAGATGACGTCACAGTGGGCTGATCTCAGAGAAATGAAGAATTACCCACCATCCTTTCCTCACATATGACAAAAGAGTAGAACCAGTGACAAGTCTGACGAAAAACTCACTCAGAATTGCTTCACTGAGTTGCCACTGTGATTATGGCATGAAGTGACATTCATGCGCAACTTTAGAGCAGGAACAGTTATTCAGATACTACACGTAGCAGCATTAGGCAGAGGGGTACATGCAGGGCATCGTAAGGCAAAATAGTACCCAAATATTTTTTTATTCCATATAAAACCTCAGCAGACACATGTAGATTCACTGGTGGGTAAATAAACTGCCTATATTTGTGTTGTAGTCATGGTGACTTCTGGTTCCTATCACCACCACTGTAAAGAAAGAAGAGTCTTTAAGTTGTATGAAATGGTTCTTCAGATTGATGGAGAATCTGTCGTGTATGGTTGTATATAATAATAATAAAACTAACACTACTACTACTAATAATAATAATAATAATAATAATAATAATAATAATTTATTTATATAACACCTTTCATGCGTTATAAATGCAGCTCAAAGTGCTTCACAATACAAAAAAAACAACAGAGGTAGGAAAAAGATAATCAAAAATAAAATAAACAAATAATAAACGTAAGAAAAGGGGATATATAGGACACGTAGCAGCATAAGCCCATATTTCCCTTCATCTCCACCTCTTCCAGATAGAGATAGTGCAGTGAAGCATGTCGCCCTGGCTCGATAAAGGGGAATTCCATCAATTTTTCAAAAATTTCTGTATACTTAAAAGGTTAAGATGTAAACAGAGTCATTCAGAGTGGTTTGCTTTGAAATGCCCTCTTACTGAAACTTGCTGAGTCAGAATTGTTCACAGTGGTGGTGATAGGAACCAGACGTCCACCTGTAAAAGCTCCCTCACAGAAAGTTACTACATGAAATGGCTATAAATTCACTGCCTGATGACTGAGACACTGTTTTGTGATGAGGTTTAGGCTTAAAATGTATTTTAATACAAAAATTGTCATGGCGGAGGGGTACATGCAGGGCATTGTAAGGCAAAATAGTCCCCAAAGAATTTTTTTTTATTTTATAAGAATATATTTTCCACTATTTTACCATCATCAACATTCCATATAAAAACTCAGCAGACACATGTAGATTCACTGGTTAGTAAATAAACTGGCTAGATTGGTGTTGTAGTCATGGTGACTTCTGGTTCCTCTCACCACCACTGTAAAGAAAGAAGAGTCTTGAAGTTTCTCTACAATGAACTGTTTCATATTAAACCACTCGGAATGACTCTGTTTACATCTCAAGGACTGAATTATTCTGAAATTTTGAAAAATTGGTGGAACTCCCCTTTAACCCAGTGAGAGCATGCTTTTATTTTGCCTGTCTTTTACCCTGCTGGCTGTCAGGCTCTGATTGGCTGCTCTCTCCCTCCAGCACTGGGCTGTGGATGTGAGGGAACGCTCGTGTTTGTCTTTCCGAGCTGAAGGCCTCGGCATTGTTCACGCTGCAGCCGCTCTCTTTGTTCCTCTGCGTGTTTGGCTATGAGCTCTGACTCGGCAGCTGCAGCGTACCGCTGCCTCCTTGTGGCCGTGAGGGGAAAGTGCTCTATTGTGAAGGGATTTTTATGGTTAGGTGCAAAATGGTTCAGGAATAGTTTAGCAAAACAACCTTGGTGACCCTGACACGTTTGGTGTACGTGTTTGGTTTTGCTTCTGAAGTTTTGCACTGGAACTATGAGGCTAATATAGAATCAGAATTGCTTACTACAAGTAAATAAATATTTAAAAAATAAGATTTCAACAGAAGGATAAAATAAAAAATAACTAGAAAAAAACTTTTGCTGAATAAAATATGTGATCGAGCAGCTTAATCAGTTCCCAGACTTTTGCTAGAGTGTTTCCAGGCGGTTACTGCGGTATCCCAGGTGGTTGCTATGGTATCCCAGCAGGCTGGTAGGGTGTTTCTAGGAAGTTACTATGGTATCCCAGGTGGTTGCTGTGATATCCCAGGTGGTTGGTAGGGTGTTTCCAGGCGGTTACTTTGGTATCCTAGGTGGTTACTATGATCTCCCAGGTTCCTGGTAGGGAGTTTCAGGCGGTTACTGTGGTATCCAAGGTGGTTGCTATGGTATCCCAGGTGGCTGGTAGGGTGTTTCTGGGTAGTTACTGTGGTATCCCACGTGGTTGCTATGGTATCCCAGGGGGCTTGTAGAGTGTTGCTAGGTGGTTGCTATGGTACCCCATGTTGTTAATACAATGTTGCTAATGGACTTGTATCATCATGAGATAAACCGGTTGCACAAACCTTTGCCCCCATTCATTCCTACGGAAAAGAAATTCATTATTAACGATGATTGTACGAAAACCATACATCCAATCGAAAAGCTGTACACAAGCACAGCGTTCCCAACCAGACCGAACATGCCGCAACTGGAACGGTGTCGATATTTTGAAAACTGCAGCACAAATTGGTCAAAAATCTGTCAGAAAAATAACACAATAGTCTTGCACATTGCTTTGCAATCGCTAATAATAAAATATAAGTAGAATAAGAGACGAAAGAGCAGATAAAATGGTGTAACGTGCCAAAAGAGTGTAATATATAAAAGTGAATATGTGTGCAGAGTCTGTAGTATGATGATATGAATGGTATACACATTTGCCCAGTTGTGCAAGATGCTTTATGGTACAGAGGAGAGTTCTAGGTCACTGTAAGGGTTTGCAAGGTTCGGTTTAAAAAGCAGGGGTCCACTGTGGTTAATGAGCACCACAGCTTTGGGGAAAAAAGTCCAGTTATGCTGGCTGTGATGGAAACTGATAGAAGCTTATATGCTACTAATGTGCAAACCTTTCAGTAATCTCTGATAGACTTGATTATGTAGTTTCTGATGCCGTATGACACACTGTTATCTATAAACATGTACTAAAGTACATAAGCTTCCATTACTTAGCCACATTAGCCTCGTAGCTCCAGTGCAAAACTAAAGAAGCAAACTTCAGACACCGAAGTGTCTTGACTGATCATTTTTGGCTGAACTATCACTTTAACCATTCCACTATAGGGGCTGGTGGCAGCTTGCATGGGCTTTATAAGTGCGTCGAGACAGACAGCAAGTCAGGAATAGCTTGTGCACTTTGAGTCTGCGCTGTAATGTACAGCATGGTGCAGTACTGTGTGTGTGTGTGTGTGTGTGTGTGTGTAACCCTCCTTGTTCTGTGTGTGTTGGGACAGTGGTGCTGGTGAAGCAGGGCTGGCCCCAGACGGTGTCGGCCACGGGGCCTGCTGAAGGCTCCTTTGACCTGGCCATGGACGCGGGCTCAGAGAGCAGGCAGTTCCAGGCCTCGTCCACTGCATTCAGTAAATATACCATTATACCATTACACTGTACCAACACACACACAGACACGCTCCATGTGTTTTCATGCAGTTTTATAAGTACCTATACGTAATAATATTCTGTTCTGTGTGCATTATATATATATCGATGTGTGCGAATACCTATACGTAATGTATGTGTAAGAATCTGTATGTAATAAGCAAATGTCCCAGAATTGTATATATATACTTGTAAGTAACTAAGTAATAATATGCCCCATATGTAAGTAAGTACCCTGATGCCATAACAATATGGCCCCTGTGTGTTAAATGTATTTAAGAATCTATATGTAATAATATGCTATGTGTGCATTATATATATGTAAGTACCTATATGTAATATTATTATGCCCCATATGTATAATATATTTTAGGATATATATATCATGAATAATGAACACCATGAATAATGTCCCATTATTGTGTTACCTATGATAATGTCACCTATTATATGGGTAAGTATCTATTTGTAAGAATGCCTCTCGCATCTCTGGCAGGAAACTTTTCCGCACAAGTAAAGCAGTTTCTTGTAAAATGTCTCTTAGTGTTCGACTTTTTACGAGGCTGAAGTCGCTTCTCATTCTCCAGCGTGTTCTTTGAATTTTCCTGTTCCACCTTAAATGGTGCCTGAGGCGGAATGTAACTGCTGCTCTATTTAAGGTGGAACGGGAGAATTCGAACAAGAAGCTGGAAAATAAGAAGCTGATTTCAGCTTTGTGACTTTTTTTAGTGTTTGACAGTTTCTGGCTGCAGATTAAACGTATCAGGAAACCAGCTGGAGTGATTATAAACACAAATAAGTCCATTCAGTTCCAAATTAAATCTTTCTCTTTGCCGTTTCGTTAGCTACTAGCTAGGCGAGATTGTTGTCTGCGCTGCTATGGTGACCAGCAGTCTGTACTGATCTTCAAGGGTGAATTAGCAGTTCTACATTAACTCCAGAGTTTAAGACCATTTATTGTTAAACTGTGTTGAACGATCAGCAGAGCTTTATTTTACTGTAAAGGAGGATTATTTTATTTTTACCTACAAATCTGATTCTGCTGTGGAGCCACAACAGGACGGTAAAAGAGCCGCATGCAGCTCTGGAGCCACATGTTGCCGATTCCTGCCCTGTTCAGTTAAAACCGGGGCAGTGTTTGTGTGAGTGTGGTTGTGTTTGATCGCGTGCGCTGCTTTGTTTGGTTGTTTGTTTGTTTTTGTTGTCCTGTCAGTGACGGCTGTATGTTTGTGCTGTTCAGTGAGCTTCACTCTGCTGTAAAGTCAGGAGGTCAGTCTGTGTTATTATGTCTGAACATGTCCAGAAGGTGGAGACACTCAGCTTTTAATAAAGCCCCCAGTGATAAAACAGAAATGAACAAACGAGTGTAGATGATCGTTATCTGGTCGTTAGAGCTCTGTTTGAACAGACACTCAAACTGTTACTAACTGTTTTAGTCTGTCTTAGGAGTCCTGACCTGAAAACTAATCAGACTTTCTTTCTTTCTTTTTTCTACTCTACTCCGTCTTCTCTCTTTTTCTCTCTTCTGTTTCTTTCCCTCTTTTTCTTTTTTTTTGTTTCTCACTTTCTTTTACTCTGAACTTACACTCTCTCTCTTGATTCATTCTTTCTTTCTTTCTTTCCTTCTTTTTTTCCTTCTCTACTCTGTCTTCTTTCTTTATCTTCTTTCCACCTCTCTTTCTCTCTTTTCTGTTTTTTCTTTCCCTTTTTTCTTTCTTTTTTGTCGTTTTCTTCTCTCACTCTCTGAATTTACACTTTCGCTCCTTTGTTCTTTCTTTCTTTCTTTCTTTTTTTGTCTGTTTTCTGTCCTTCTTTTCCTTCACTTTCTCCCTCTCCCTCTTTTTCTGTCATTCTTTTTTCTTGCTCCCCATCTTCTCTCTTTCTCCCTCTTTTCACTTTTTTCTTTCTCCTTCTCTCTTGCCTCTCTCTCTCCCTCCCTCTCTCTCCTCTCTCTCTCTCTGTCTCTCTCTCTCCTTCCTCTCCTTCACTTTTTCTGTCTGTCGTTTTTTCTTCCTTTCTCCTGCTCCCTTTCTTCTCCCTCTCACTCTCTTTCTCTCTCTCTCTTTCTCTCTCTCTCTTTCTCTCTCTCTCTCTCTCTCTCTCTCTCTCTCTGTGTGTAGGATACACTGCAGGTACTCCCTATAAAGTGCCCCCGACTCAGTCTAATGGAGCCCCCCCTCCGTACTCCCCCTCTCCAAACCCTTACCCCACGGCCATGTACCCCATCCGAAGTGCCTACCCTCAACAGAACCTCTACGCTCAGGTAAGGAATCTAGTAGAGGTGCAAATCTCTGTGATTCTGTAAGAAACGATTCAGTCGATCCTGAAATTTCAGATTTCACTACAGCTGTATCTGCTTAGATACCACTGAGAAGACAATCCTGATTGGATTATTTTCCATTGACCAGTTTCCCTGAGGGTTCTCCACTGCTTAAAATACTTTAAATAAAGCTGTTAGATTGCACTTTCTATGAATTATGGGAAAAAACTTGCTGATTTGACATGTAAAGATGTAAAACAGTGATAAAAATGACTAAACGGCATATTACGTCAACTGACATGATGCAATGACTCTCTCTCACTGTCACTGATGACTAAGTGAATAAGACTTGGCAAGTTTAAGGGTACAAAGTTTTAATGTTTTGCAATCTTTTTTGGACAAGCACCAGACATGACTTCTGCTGCAGTTCAGTCATCTGATTTTTATGATAAATAATAAATAAAACGTTTTTTAAGCCAAGATTCTGAATATTATCCAAAAGAATGTGTATGACCATGAAGAAAACCATATTAAGAGCGTTTGATCCGTCTCATAAGCCCGTGATAGATGATTAAGCACTCAGGCTGGAGAGATAATGAGTCGTGATCCTTTAACTGTAACCCAGAGCCGCGTATTACAGCAGCTAATCTGACTCTGTAATTACACTCATTCATTAATTACACTGCTCTTACCTCCTATGCCTCTCTTCCTCTTCTCCTCAGGGAGCTTATTACACACAGCCGGTGTACGCTGCCCAGCCGCATGTAATCCACCACACCACGGTGGTCCAGCCCAACAGCATCCCCTCCGCTATCTACCCCGCCCCCGTCCCGGCCCCCCGCCCCAATGGAGTGGCCATGGGAATGGTGGCAGGAACCACAATGGCCATGTCAGCAGGTCAGATGGTCCAAAGTTTCACATCAGAGTTACTACAGGACATAAGCATTAAATGACTTTACACCAGATCTTCTGAACGTTTTGTTGATCGTATAATTTAAGTAAATCACTGTTCAGTAAGATAAAGTTACAGTCATATGCAGAAGTTTATTTATTATCTATTATTTTGAGTGAAAATAATAAAAGAACATTAAATATTTACTATTCATGTTTATTTCACAGTTACTGTTTATTTTCTGGATTTAGCATATTGGGGAAAAGTTAAACATTAAATGTGGCCGGTGCAAAAGTTATGGCACATTAATTTTTGTGGTTTTTTTTTTCCTGTGGCCACACTGTATTAAGGTGTGGGAATGAGATCATGCCTTATTAAGCTGTGGTCAAGGATTAATTATCTCATTCTCACACCTAACTAAGCCATGGCCACACATTAGGATCTCGTTCCCATTGCTTACTAAGTCGTGGCCATGACTTATCTCGTTCCCATGCCTTACTAAGTTGTGGCCATGCGTTAGGATCTTGTTCCCATGCCTTACTAAGTCATGGCCACGACCCAATTATCTTGTTCCCACACCTTTCTAAGTTGTGGCCATGCATTAGGATCTTGTTTCCAAGTCATGGCCACGACCCAATTATCTTGTTCCCACACCTTTCTAAGTTCTGGCCACGCATGAGGATCTTGTTGCCATGCCTTACTAAGTCATGGCCATGACCCAATTATCTTGTTCCCACACCTTTCTAAGTTTTGGCCACGCATTAGGATCTTGTTCCCATGCCTTACTAAGTCATAGCCACGACTTATCTCGTTCCCATGCCTTACTAAGTTGTGGCCACGCATTAGAATCTCGTTCCCATGGCTTACTAAGGCATGGCCACGACTTATCTCGTTCCCGTGCCTTACTAAGTTGTGGCCACGCATTAGGATCTCGTTCCCGTGCCTTACTAAGTCATGACCACGACACAATTATCTTGTTCCCACACCTTTCTAAGTTGTGGCCACGACCCAATTATCTTGTTCCCACACCTTTCTAAGTTGTGGCCACGACCCAATTATCTTGTTCCCACACCTTTCTAAGTTGTGGCCACGCATTAGAATCTCGTTCCCATGCCTTACTAAGTCATGGTCATGACCCAATTATCTTGTTCCCACACCTTTCTAAGTTGTGGCCACGCATTAGGATCTTGTTCCCATGCCTTACTAAGTCATGGCCACGACCCAATTATCTTGTTCCCACACCTTTCTAAGTCATGGCCATGCATTAGGATCTTGTTTCCAAGTCATGGCCACGACCCAATTATCTTGTTCCCACACCTTTCTAAGTTGTGGCCACACATGAGGATCTTGTTCCCATGCCTTACTAAGTCATGGCCATGACCCAATTATCTTGTTCCCACACCTTTCTAAGTTGTGGCCACGCATTAGGATCTCGTTCCCGTGCCTTACTAAGTAATAGCCACGACTTATCTCGTTCCCGTGCCTTACTAAGTTGTGACCACGCATTAGGATCTCGTTCCCATGCCATACTAAGTCATGGCCACGACCCAATTATCTTGTTCCCACACCTTTCTAAGTTGTGGCCACGCATTAGGATCTTGTTCCCATGCCTTACTAAGTCATAGCCACGACTTATCTCGTTCCCATGCCTTACTAAGTTGTGGCCACGCATTAGGATCTCGTTCCCATGGCTTACTAAGTCATGGCCACAACTTAATTTTCTCGTTCCCACGCCTTACTTATTGTTATTTATACAGGATGTCACCAACAGGGCTCCGTACACGGCAAAATGTTAAGTGAACGTATAATAAAAGCACAGCTGGCCTGTGGATTTGGCCCTGTTAGGGTTGAGTTTGATGCCCCTGCAGTAGAGGATGTTTTATTTTCACTTAGAAAATCATCAGAACATCTCATTTGACCAGGGGTGTTCAAACATCTGCATACATCTGTATATATTTGATTTACATTGTATAATTACACAAAACGTTCTTGCATACTTTCATAATCTGTAGGTATGTAATTGTAAGGTATGTACTTAATATTGTGTTTAACATCATAAATGTGATCATACTGTGACTAAAACCTGTTGAATTGTTTTGCATCTACAAGTTTTAAAATTATATGCATTAGAAAAAATCACTCGTTAGAGTTTTTTCCATCAGAAAACACACAGACCTCTGAAGGCTTAAAGGCTTAAGCCTTTTTTCTCTATCAGTAAAAATGAATGATGAATTAATTATTTAGAAAATCGGTGTAAACAAAAATCTTTCAAAAATCGATACATTTTGTCCTGCATAAAAATTTACTCTGAATATCACTGGTTTAAAATAAAGGTAATTAAGGCACCTAAATACAAATATCACAGCATGAAAGCTGCACCTGGACTCCCTAATATGGGCATGACTACAGATTGACGCATGACCTCATCCATACAGTGCAGTCTGCACTCTGTGTTTCAGTGAAAATGCACTTGTTAAAATATGAATAAACTCACAGTGATGTGTATTGAATCATCAGGTACACTGTTGACCACGCCCCAACACACTCCCATTGGACCACACCCCGTTACCGTGCCAACGTATCGTCCCCAAGGAACGCCTGGGTACAGCTATGTGCCACCTCACTGGTAGAGCCCACCTGCCAATCATGTAAGTTTAAATCTTTGCCCGTGCACAAGGCAAAAAGCAGTATCCTGATAAAACATTAGCGATAGCTATAATCATTAAAATCAAACAATTTTTGATACTGATTTTTCAATCTGGGATCAGAAACAAAGGCTTGAAGATTCGAGCGGGAGAAGAAGTCTAGCCGTTCACTCACAGCAGCACAAACTGCACTGAAAAAATGGTCCTTTTTGATTTAATTTTACTAAATTTGTACATCGTTCAACACAAATAGAAGAAATTACAGCAACACATCTCAAAAAAGTAAACAAAGACAAAACTGTGTTGTTTTAATATTTACATGTTTTTATATTCACATGAAACCGATGTGCACATTTGAAATAAATCTACAGCGGCACTTTTCTCCTTTTTTTAGCCTTTTTTAGTTATTAGATAATATATAACACTTACGTTTACAGTCCCCTAAGTTCTAGATATTATCGTATGGGGTACAAACTCCAGAGTACTGTGTAACTATTTTGGGTAAAGAGATGGATTGTAGATTAATAAAGTACTTTGTGCTTTTTATAGTCATTTTACTCCATATAACTTACCCACCTGGTTTACTTCCCTGCATAAATGTGTGACATTGCAGTGACATTTAGTGTATGTTTGTACAGTATTTACCACCTTGTTGTTACAGATATTTCTGAGATATGTTCTTTATCAGCTTAAGGCTAGTTAGTCATTTCAGTGTAATTTAGTTAGACTGTCTTGGTACTAATTACCTAAAATAATTACACAGTGCTGTGTAGTTTGCACCTCACACTTACTCAGTTAATAGCTAGAACCTGTTGAGCATTTCATTGTAATTTAGTTAGACTTCTTGGTTCTTAGTTAGTCTTGGAACTTACCGTCATGTAAGCCAAAGTAATTATCTAGTACTTTGGAGTTTGTCCCTCACATTTGCTTTAATACCTAGCGCCTAGGGAACTGTAGAAGAAAGCGTTACTGACATATTTCCCAAAAATCCCATATCCTACATTATTCTTACATTTTATTTCTTGTCTTGAGGTCCATGTATAATGTTTGTGTGGTTTTATGTATCAAAAATGCTGTAATTCAGTTTTACATGACCATTTTTCAGCCTCTCTTTAGCTCTTGCAATTAAACAAGCTGTTTATTACTGTGCTTTTAAGACATATATATGTAAATGAACTCTGTTCTGATTGGCTGCCCCGTATTGTGCCTCTTTCACAAAGCATACAGAGCTGAAACACTCTTTATAGCTTCAGTGTGAATGGGCGGGGCTAAACAGGCACATATTTGTAAATTTTAACGATGTTTACGCACCACATCAAATTCTTTTAATCTTAAAAAGTGAGAAAAATGCAGTAAGTCCACCTTCTTGTTTCTGCACTCATTTTATCAGCTCCACTGACCGTATAGGAGCACTTTGAAGTTCTACAATTACAGACTGTAGTCCGTCTGTTTCTCTGCATGCTTTGTTACCCTGTTCTTCAAAGGTCATGACCCCCACAGAGCAGGTATTAATTGGGTTATATGGTCAATCTACGATTATAGAACTACAAAGTGCGTCTGTATGGTAAGTGGAGCTAATAAAACTGGACAATGAGTGTAAATACAAAATTTTAAATTTTGTGTGTTACACCAAAATAAACCAATTTGAACACCACACTCGGAAATACATTTAAAGGTATTATAACGCATTATACAGTATCATCTGTTGAGATGCAGTATTTGTCCGACCTTATTACTCACTGCTCTTACTTTCCCCAACAGATCTGGAGTCAAACATCGTATGCAACTACTCAAGTCTTACATTGGCACTCTGTGATCAACAGGGACCACGTCTGTTTGCAAGAACAAAAGAAAAAAAAAGGGTCACTTTATGCATTCTTAAGTGTTTTTGTAAAAGCTGCTTTTTTATTTTTTATTTAAATAGATTTTTCTTTTCTCTCGTGTTTTGTCTTATAATTTTGGGCCTACGTTGTTGCATTAGGTCTTTTTTTTTTCTTTCTTTAATTCCACATTTCTCGACGATTAACTCCTGCAGAAACTCCAGAATGATTTCGACCAATCGCGACTTTGAAACGATCCGGGTTTTGTTTTTTTTTGGTTTTTTTTTCGCGTAATAATGCCGGTGTGTAGGAATGTACGTGGCGCAATATCGTCATCACCATGCTCATCACGACTCGACAAGTTATGCTGCCAAATTTTATAACTTTTAGATATTAGTACAGGGTTGTTTTGTTTTTTTTTTTATTTTATTTTTATTTATGTAAATTCGATTCAGTTCAGATTCCCTCATAGCGTACCCTTTCAGAAGGGCTGTTTTTTCAAATTTTGATTTCCTCTTACACGCATATTTTATCCAACTGTTTTCTGTTCATCTTCTAGCATCGATAACAAGGGTGTCTTCCAGCTTGTAGCAGTTTATTAGGTACATTTGTAATAAATATATCCGCTGTAGGGCAGTGCGACGTGGTTTTAAACTTCATTAGGACATCGAGTACTTACAGTAATCTCAGTTATTCGCTTAGTAGAGGACGCTGGAGTGAGCTGGTTTCTTCATTAGTTTGTTCATCGGGATAGAGTAAGCTTCTAAATTATGATGTGCATATTATATTTATATATATGTGTGCATTTATGTGCTCTTGCGGAGGCATGCAACTGCATGTACGCACGAACGCACTGAAAAACACACGGGGGAAAAAAAAAGCAACGACGTGCCGAAGCGCGTGATGTAAAATATCGCGAGGATTTCTGTCTGTGGCACTTAGCTGGAGGTTCCAGGTCTGATGGCAGTTAAACTCAATCGAACGCGTGCCAACACGGAGGACAATTGGGACGGACGCTGCTCCGGTTCAACTTTCAGGATCTCCGTTAGGATTTAAAGGGATTTTACTGCATTGGGATGAACGCAGGTAGCAAACAGGGCGGAGGAACGGGTGAGCCGAGGCGAATGGGAACGGATAAAGGTTCATCCTGCCTTTCTCCGACACCTGCTCCGGGTCGTAGACTTAGTCTTTAAGGTGAACGTCAGCGTTTTCTAAACCTAATCTCATTCTGATGCCCCTGTACCATTACAATGATTACCACTTAAAACATTTCCCTGTCCACAGAAAAGAACTGAAACCCATTTATTTGAAAAGTTATAATAGAAGTCAATGGGCAGTCGCCGAATTCTGTGAATAAATGTTTGAAATTTATCGCTGTTGTCGGAAGAAAACCTCGTATCTCCATTTGTGATGTGTTTTTTTTTTATTATTTTTGACATAATTTGAAAATACATGTTGCCCTGTATATTGTATGTAAATTTCATGATGAATGGACCCAGAAACGACCCAACATGACTTGGAAGAAAGTCTGGTTCCATTGACTTACATTAAAAGTGAAGTAGGTTTTTTCCCCAACACCACATGTGCAGTATAAATGTGTGGGGGGTGAACAGTGTGAAGGCACCGAAAATGTGTTATTTTATATGTTCTTTAAAGAAAATGAGCAAAGGCCAAGAATCTGAGGTTGAAACAATAATAATAATAAAAAATCACATCATTTTTTCTTGTAGTAAACATTTGAAAACGGGTCCCACAGACCTGAACACCACACAAGGGTTAAACTATAGCTATTACACAGTAACTACAACAATACAGCAGCAGTAAAAAAGCCACAAAACAGTGCAAAAGACAAACACTAAGATGTTCATAAGAATGTTCTTAAATGCAGTTCTAAAAAGGAAGGTCTTCTATTTTCTGTTTTTATGTAGCTTCGATATCTTGTTCCGTTTTACAGCTTACCATAAATGACATGAGGTCATTTTTGAAGTTTTGAGCATTAACCAATGTGCAGAAGCTTGAACACCTTTGGTCAAAGTACATATTTTGTTGATTTTCTAAGTGAATGTAAGTGAACACATCCTCTACAGAGAACACGCTTCTGCAAATATTAGTGCCATTTTCTACGTATTTGCTGAGATTAACATATTAGAAAAAAATAGAACAGAAAATGTGCCCTAACTTTTGCACAGACTAAGTTTTTAGATTTTTTTTCCATTGCAAATAAACAATAATCGTGCATGAAAATGTGCAGAAGTAGAGGATGTGTTCACTTATTTTCACTTAGAAAGTCATTTGAGCAGGGGCACTCAAACTTTTGCATGCGACTGAAGAATAACACTTTATCCTAAAAGCATAACATTTACAGAAAAGGCACATTTAAGACGCCCTGTGTACTTTCTGTAAGGTTTTCCGGTATCTGTGGTGACCACTACGTTGTTAACGAATTACCACAAATTACCACAAGCACATTTCTTAAAACAAGCTAAATTATCTGCCACTATAGTGAGATAATTTTACTTAAAAATCACTTAAAACTATAAAAAATGTTTAAAAATAAGTCACATAATCTTAAAATAAGCTTACAACAATCTCAGCAGGAGAAATATTAGATATATCGACTAGACTTAAAGATAATTTTACTTGACGAGATACTATTTTTTGCAGTGTAGAGGATGTGTTCACTTATTTTCACTTAGAAAGTCAGCAAAGCGTCATTTGAGCGGGGGCACTCAGACTTTTGCATGCGACTGAAGAACAACAATTTATCCTGCAAGTGTAAAGTTTAGAGAAAAAGCACATTTAAGACCCCCTGGGTAGTTTCTGTAAGGATTTTTCCGATATCTATGGTGACCACTACATTGTTAACGAATTACCACAAATGTATTCCTCTGAAAAACTAGTCCAGAAAGCAAAAATTATACAGATTTACAGCTAAATTGACTAAAAAATTCAACAAAGTGTTCTGTTCGTGGAATCCAGCAACTGCCCATTGACTTCCATTATAAGTCCACAGGTTTTCTGTTCTTTTCTGAGTATTGCAAAGTGCTTCAAAATGACCGTCTGTGGTAAATGACAGTGCACTACAGTTACAACAGAGAGAGATTAGGTCAGAAAAGCGCTGAAGTGTTCCTTTAAGCGTTCCCCTCGTCCTCTGTGAACTATTGGGCCTCTTGGCCTCGTTGCACAGATGTGAGGTTGTAGAGGAAACTGGTCGTTTAATGCAATAATAAGAATGCCTAGACGAGTGGCCCTTATTTGTGACGAGAAAGAGAGAATCCTAATCCATGACCTGCCCTGTAATCTATAAACAGTGCACTATAGTACATATCAGTTATTCTATTGAACCATATCAGCGTAATGAAGCATTGCATATTGACACATAGGTATAACTTAATAACCAAGTATACGGTACACTCTCTTATTTAATTACCTAATAAAGGACGTCAAGTATTTACTATGGTACCTGTTAGTCTTTTGGAAGTAATATTACTCTTAATAAACAGTATCACGTTTTTTTAAAGAAGTTCACTTTAGGCTATTCAACCACTATTGGAGTATATTTAAGCTGAAGAGGAAGAAATGAGTTCACAGAGATTATGTGAAGCATAATAACATAAGTATCGCATGTGTCATGCAGAAGAATGCAGTTTGCTATGTACATGAACGTGAACTGTGCCCTTTACAGCATGGTTGCATCATGTCGGATCGCAGCTTTTCGGTTGACTTAATAGAAGCTTGGAGAAAACATCCCTTTTTCTCGTATATCTAAAGAGGAGGGATGAAAGGAGGGAGGAAGAGAGCGAGAAAGTGCCGGACATTCCTTTAATATTCACAATAAAGTGTACAAACCACCACAGACCACTGGGAGCCATGACCCGAGGATGTTTCAGCTGCAAAAATATCAAATATTTCCGCTTATAGCTAAAGTTCTGTATTAACCCTTAGAAGTCGAGTTATTACTATCGATTTGCTGTGTAGTTCAATATGTTACTTGTATAACTCTATTGTACGTTGCAGCATTAAGTTACAGATACATTTACATTCTATATCTGTGCTTCTGACGTTTTACCATTTATTTTGATATCAAAAGTGACGTGGCAAAAATGTAAAGAATGGTTTTCATTCTGCGAAACAAAACTGAACTTCATGAAAGTGTAATGATTGACAGGAAAGCCAATGATGATGCTTAAGTGGACTAAATTTAACTTTTAACAGCTTGCTATATAATATTAATATGTATATGTGCTGTTTTATTCCCTTTTACGGTTAAAGCATGTGTCGTGATGGTTCAGATAAGTTGTAAAAGAACCATGGAAAACACCTTGATTTGTTTTTTCTATATATATGTAAAGCATGTGGACGTGGCTTTGGAGCTCACTCACTCACTCATACATGTTTAGCAGTCTCAAATTCCTAATAGCACCATTTCGCATGTGCTTGCATCATTTAAAGGGAAGAAACAGCTCTGAACCCACACCAGCAGGAGCTCACCAGTGCTCGTGTTTGCAGCTTCTAAAATGAGCAGTGAAACTCATTATTACAAAAAGATTTTGAGTTACTATTAGATAATATTATATTATCTAAAATGTGATTTCATTTAAGATGTTCATCAAATTTGTTAATGCTAAAAGCCTACAAGCTAATGACAGCATGGAAAGTAGGTGCATATAATCGATCATCCTGAATTTTTCACAAGAAAATATCATACCAGTTTGTTTTTATTTAGCGCCGAGGCCTCGTATTAGCAAGTAGAGGACAAATGTGGTCTGGAGTGAAATTTCTCATCTTTTTTCAGTGAGATTCGCTGAGTTATCGCTGGTGATAACTGACACTTCTAAGGGTTAAAATGGAGTAAAACTGGGTCCCAATTCAATTGAACTTATTTCTAAGCTGGGGACAAACCACGAGAACCAGCTCTGACTGAATGTGAACTGAAATGAATTCTACTCCCCAATGAAATTGCCATTTAAACCAGATAAGTTGTTTAAAAATCCCGTAAAATGTTTAAGATCTCGACTTCTTCAGCTATCCTGGTCTGAATACACTGGTATGTATTTTTAAATGAAACTTTCTTCCCCTCTCTCTCTCTCCGCCAGTCACTTTCCTCTTTCTAACACTGAACTCCCCTCTAGTCTTAAGAACAGTATTATGGAAAAGCAGTGAAATATATATTTTGTATATCTTTGCAACAGATCAATTTGTAACGCGAGACTTAATCAATGCAATTCAAAGTTATTAATGAGTTCACTGGTCCAGAACTGAAAACAGGTAGACTTTTGTTGGTTGTGTGATGAAGTTTAATTCTCTGAACATATTTTAGGATTAGAAATGGGTTCTTTTGGGTTCAGATATAAGCAGCTGATGTTTTACACTAAGAAGTAATGAAAGTTGAATACATTTGAAAGGAAAGCTCACCGAAAAGGAGTCCACTCTGACATGTAATTAAAGCGCTTTTTACCGTAAGTGTTATTTAAGGTTTCATTGATGATTGATGTTCTTTTTTTTCTTTAATTAGATGGTCTTTATGGTTGATCTGGAGAGTGATGCGTAACAGAACGTGCGGCCAAGGGACATTTCAGAGCACAAGTCTATAAGGGTTCTCTTCCTCCGGGTCTATTTTCATGTTTTTGAAGGGAAGTTCCACCCATTTTAAAAAAATATTCTGCAAAATTCAATGAATTAGATGTAAACAAAGTCATTCAGAGTGGTTTGGTGTGAAATGCTTTATTGTGGAGACACTTAGCGATTTCTTTACAGTGGTGATGATAGGAACCAGAGGTTTACTGTCCAAAAGCCCCAGTGAACCTCCACGTGTGTTCTGAGTTTTTATATCTAATGATGATGATGAAGGTAAAATAGTGATAAATCTAAAAAAAAAAAAAGTTTTTTTAGGGACTATTTTGTCTCACAGTGCCCTGCGTGTACTTTTCACCATGAATTGCTTTTACATAAAACGTTTTAGGCCATAAAAATAATGTTTGAGGCATATATTAATAAACATTTCATGCAACAACTTTGTGAAGGCTTTATCTTAAGCTGGACAGTTTGAAAATTTGGTGGACTTCCCCTTCAAGAATGGTGCAGTTTGCAGTGCAGTAAAGTTGCTGTTAGAACTCATTAAAAAACAAACAAGTAAAAAGGGAAAAAATGTTGTTATATTTCTAAATATTCTCATAAACGCGATTCCCATCAGAGAATCAGTTAAATTTAGTTTAAAAATATCCGATCGGAAATTTTTGCCTCCTTAATTTTCCATTCAGGATGAATTTACAACATTCCAGCCATACATTCAATTGACTTGATTTAAATGTGATTTAAATCATTTCCTGATTAACAACAAACACTACACGTCCAAAAGTCCGTAGACTCCCTGCTCCTCCAGCGTTTCTTCTGAAATGAAGGGTGTTAATAGTGAATTCTAGGAAGGCTTTACACTAGATGTTGGAACATGGCTGTGAGGATTTGATTGCAGCTACAAGAGCATTAGTGAGGTCAGGTGCTGATGTTGGATGGTCAGTTCTGGATCACTCCAGCTCATCCCAAAGGTGCTGGATGGAGCTCCATCACTGCATAGA